GGCAGCCGCTCAGCCCCCTGCCCCCGCCGCCTGCGGGGCCGGGCCGAGGATGCAGCGCAGCGCCTCGGTGGCCAGGCTCGCTCTGCTCCAGCGTGCTTGCTAACTTCCCCAGCTCCGTCCCTGCTTGCCGGGGCCGCCCCTTGTCCCCGCGCCCTCCGGGTCTGGTCATCAAACGCACTGGGAGCTGCCTCCGGGTCCCTTGCAGCCCTCTCGCGAGCCCGCTCTCCCCTTCTGTGCCCCATCTTCGTCCTCACCATGCTGCCCTTCGGCCTCGTGGCCGCCCTGCTGCTGGCCGCAGGGCCTCGGCCGAGCCTGGGCGACGAAGCCATCCACTGCCCCCCCTGCTCCGAGGAGAAGCTGGCCCGCTGCCGCCCCCCTGTGGGTTGCGAGGAGCTGGTGCGGGAGCCTGGCTGCGGTTGTTGCGCCACTTGTGCCCTGGGCTTGGGGATGCCCTGCGGGGTGTACACCCCACGCTGTGGCTCAGGCATGCGCTGCTACCCTCCCCGGGGAGTGGAGAAACCCCTGCGCACACTGATGCACGGGCAAGGCGTGTGCACGGAGCTGTCGGAGATCGAGGCCATCCAGGAAAGCCTGCAGTCCTCTGGTAAGACATACCTACCTTTCCTTTGCCACCTTTCCCAATAGCCCTCCTCCTTGCAACTTGGCTTCCTTTCGGGTTGTCCTGGAAGGCCCATAAAAGTCCTCCGGGAGTTGAGGAGAATAGAGGTACGTGGTACAGCCAAGAAAACTGGCACTGAATCCCAGTGCCACTTGCCACTGGTCAAGGGGAACCTGGTCCCATCCCTTCATCTCAAGTCTCCCAGGTACTTCTTTGTGAAGAGGGGCCGCGGCCTCAGTGGTAAGCCTGGCTCCTGAGGCGACAGTGGTAAGTTAAATGACTTGATTCAGCTATAAAACAAAGCCGGAAAACTGCTATAAGGATGGTGTGTGTGTGTGTGTGTGTGTGTGTGTGTGTGTGTGTGTGTGTGTGTGTGTGTTTTGGGACGGTCCCTTTCTGTTCCTGATCTAGGGCCCGATCCACACCCAGTTTCAGGTGAAACCCAAAGGTGTGAGGAACCAGGGCCTGGACTTTTCACTCATCACCCTATGGTGAAGTGGCACACGCAAATCAGAAGGGACTTCGACAGGAATGAACGAAATTTGTGCTTCCCTGAAGGCCCAAAAAGCAGTGGAAGGCAGGGCTCTTTCTGCCAGGCTGGCACAACCAGGTTTCTTGCTCCTTCCTCCTGGCAGGTGTCATCTGAGGGGGCCTGGAGGGAAGTGCCGGCTGTCAGCCCAAGGTTTCCTGAAACCTTGAGTGTATGGGACTGAGAGGAGAGGGGGGTCAGATGGACAAGTAGACAGATTTTCAGAATGTCCCTTGCTCTGATCTTGTATTTTCTTTTTCAGATTCTCAGTTTCTTCTTAGACTTTTTCTCTTGTCCTTTGTTATTTCCTGCTGTGTCGCTCAACTTCTGGTTTGACCAAACAGTCTGAGTTCTCTTTTTTCTCGCCGTCCTGAGCTTTATGAGTTCCCTTCTCTCGCTGTGCCTTGGTTTGTTTTTCTGCTGCCCTGTCACGTTTATCTCAGACTCTTGCTCTTCTGATGATTCTTTCTGCATATCTGCTGCTTTTTGGGCGTTCTGCCTCTCCGTATCCCCGGCTCTGGTTATTGTCCCTTCTTGGACAGCCTGGCTCTCTCTGAGCCACCGTCTGTGCTTCTCTCTTCTCCTGGTGCTTGACTCTTCCATTGTTGCAGTCCGGATGCTCAGACTTCAGGCCCTGAGCTTCCTGCTCTGGGTCCCATACCAATCCACTTCCTCAATCCTCAGCAGTTTATTAGTGTGAGGAAAGCAGGATGCAGGGAAAACAGGAAGGAGGTGGACCCCAGGGGTGCCTCTCTGCCCTTCCTGCCCCTGCTTGGGGAAGGAGAGATGGCTCAGCAGAAATAGTCTGGGAGAAATGCCAGACTGGCACCCAGCATTGTTGAGCGGGGAGGAGGGTCTTGGGAGAGGGATTCCTTGATCTTGGGGCAGTGAGACCAGGAGAGAGAAGGCTGCGTTTTTACGATGCCCGCTTTGAGTCTTTGCTCTCTGCCAGCTAGTGGGCATCTAGCAGCAGGTGAGGATGGCTGGTAGTCTCCTCTTTCCCCAACTTGAGCAGGAGCCAGAAGAGATGTGCATGAGCCTTCTCTTGTGGTTGGATAGAAGCAACACTACACTGTGGAGGAAACACTGACCCCCTGGTGGGTTAGGAGGACCTGGCACAGTTTCTGATTGTTCTGTGGGTGTGAGACAAGTCAACCTCTAGAGGAGTCCAGGAAAGGGGTGCCTTTAGGTATGTTTTGGAATTCAGAGCTCAAGTTACTAATTCTCCCACTTCCTGACCTTGTCTTCTACTCACACCAAGGAAACAGCCATCTGAAGAGAGAAAAGCAGAAACCAGAAGGACCCTGGAGATAGACTTTTTTTTTCAAGACAAGGTTACTCTGTATAGCCCTGTCCTCCCTCTCTCTCTCTCTCTCTCTCTCTCTCTCTCTCTCTCTCT